TGGTAGTGGTGGTGTTGGTGATAGTCGTGGTGGTGGTTAGTGGTAGGGGTGGTGGTGGTAGTAATACTGGAGGTAGTATTTTGTTGGAGAAGCAGGAGAATCACATGAAATTCAGTTGCATGTTGTCCTTCACAGAAATAGGAAAAATACTGGCAGCTAGGCTCTCTGATTTTCCTTCTTTGGGTTTGAATGGTCTCATTTCTTCTACTTTCTACATGTCTATTCCATTCTCTTTTGGACAAACAAGTATTTTCGGTAAAACTCTTTAATTTATGCCTCTCAGTAACATGACTTGATCTCAAAGACCTAGTGCCCAGTGCAATATGATTCAGACTCTCTGTCTCAAAGCCTAATTTCTGGAAGGGAGAATCCAACCGGACCAGGTTTGGTCAACTATCCAGTGCTGGTCCAATCAACTGTGGCCAGTGGGTTAGGGTGATGTTGGGTTCCCTTACAGAAGTCGGCAGGGGCTCTCTGGGTGTGGGGGAGGGGAGCCATGGAGACAATGATAGGAATCTCTAGTATAAGATTTGGGCTTAAGGAGAAGTATCCATTTGTGAGGCTAGGATAGTAGAATTTGATAACTGATAGGATCTGAGAGTTTCCACTCTGAGAGACATGGTGGAGCGTGAACTCTGAAAACTTTTAATCAATAAACAAATATTCAGTCTGCAAAAGCAATTTTCTGGATTTACTGACTTTAGACTTTACGAACATTGGATTACTAGATTGCAATTAAATTAGTGCAAGTTCAACTCTGCTGTTATTTGAGTGACCTTTAGCAAGTCATTTTCCTTAGTTTCTGCTTCCTCATTTATACATGGGGATTAAAAATACCTACCCTATCTCATAGGGTTGTTGTGATTATAGATTATACTGCTCTGAAAACTGCAAGGTGTTACACAAATGCAAAGTTTTATTACTAATGTGAATATCAGGTAATGTATTATTCCTAAAACTCTGTCCTTGAAATCACACCTGTGTGTGCACGTGTTCCTGAGTGTGGGGATAAGAGGTAGGAAAGGGTGGAAGGCAGTGTAAAACTGTGAAATAATAGATATTTCACAAGGGCAGGAAATGCTGTAACGCTCAGTATAAGTCACTTCTACTCTCACCTTCCTCTGAACATTTCTAGGTGGAGAAATTACTCCTACCCCAAACAACTCCATTTCTCCCTTTTCAGGTAGCCTCTGATGTGAAGAGCTTATATTTGGGGCAAAGGAAGGAAAATCAACTCAGCTGCAATAAAAAGAAAGAGGTACAATTTAAAGTTTACAGGCTATGGAGACTGTGAGAGATGACTTGTGATAGAAAGGGGTGTAGAAGGTGTGTGAGTGTGAGCAGTGTGCTGTGATGTAGTGTGTGTGTTCATGTCTGTGAGAGAGAGAAAGAGGGGGGAGAGGGAGAGTGGGAGGGAGAGGAAGAGAGGGTGTTAAAGAGTCATGTAGAACAAAGTGATGAGCTAGGCCTGGCTTTCCTCCAATGGCCTGTGGAATCAGTTCAGTGTGGGAGGCACGGCTGCTCTCTCCTTGTCCATCAGTGGTCTATGGATGGAAGAGACTGCCTCCTCCAGCCCAATCTAGTGAGGCTGTTCCTGGGCGTTGATGAACTGGAGGAGGAATTCTTAATGGAATTTAAGCTAATGATACTGCTTGCTATATTTTATTTGACTTTATTTTCAGGAAAGACAAGTCGAGGAGGGATTGGGAAGCTGACATTGGATGTCAGGTACTTATTATTTCAACTTCAGCTCAAAATAATATGATGCCATGCATATTATCACTCCTAATTTACAGAGAAGGCAGCTGAGCTTCAAAAAATTTAAATGACTGCCCAAGGTCTGTAGCAAGTAAGTAGAGAATATGATATTCAAGCCCAGGCTAGTTTGATTCCAAACCCCATGCTCTTTCTATGACACCTTACGGGGGACCATTAAACCACCATCTGAAGATTTAACACGAAACACTCTCCAAGAAATGACTTATCTTGATATAAATGTTATATTCAGCTGTTTCAGATAAATAGGCTCTTAGGGGTACTTTCAGTCATCTAACCCACCCAGAGTCTATTGTTGGTAAAATCTAGACAGATGAGTATCTTATTTCTATAAGGATTTTATTTTGGGAAGGGAGAATCTGTTAACTCATGTTCAATGCTAGGAGGATGGAGAACACACGCTGGTGCTCAGCTGTCCCCTCTCAGCTCAGTGGTCAGAATAGGCTCCTCAGGTGGATCTGGCTTTGATAGAGAGTTTGAGGGAACTGGCCAGCAGCGACTTGATGAGTGGCCAGCACACCTCTGAGCACTTTGGGATATCTATACCTATGAAATAGAAATATATTCTTGAATGTACGGTTACTCCAGTAGTTCAGGAAAGGGGAAACATCAACATGAATTGAGTATTTGGAGAAATTTCATGACAAAGTGAGTTTGGCTTTGCAATAGGAGAGGGGTTTGCATAGGAAAACAGAGGGAGTAGACATTTCTGGTGGAGGGCCCCCCTTAAGCAAATATGCAGAAGCAGCAATGAGCCAAGTTGATTGGTGAATAGTGAACAAACATTGGAATATTAGAGTCAAGAATGATAAAGAAGGCCGTAGAGAGAGAAAGAAGAGTTTGAATTTGTCCTGAAGAATAGACAATGACTATTTTAGGTTTTAGAACAGAAACCTGAATAAGTTTTGTTTAGGGAAGGTTGGCACAGGGGGAGACAGGGGTTCTCACTCACCTTGACAATGTGATTTGTTGTTCCTCGGTCTTTAAGGAGTGCCTCCGGAGGATCTCAGGATCTCTTTTGTGTTATCGATGGACAGGCAGCTGGTACAGCTTCCAGAGTTCCCCAAGGATATGTACTAGTTCTGTTTAGAGGTGTGGGGTGAAGTAATATTCGGAGTGAAGACTCAAAATGACAGATAATCCAGCATTTTGAGTACTAGGCAGAGAGCTCAGAAATCCATTTCGTGTTTATGACAGCTCTGGGCAGTTTCTTACCTGTAGTGGGTCCCTGTTGCTGGCGGAAGGCTTCTGCTGACACGATGAGCCTCCAGCGTGCTTTACCAACAGCATCCCTGACTTTCCCACGGCTGTCTTCCCTGTCTGTATCTTTTTGCTGCAGTTTCCAGATCAGTCCTGTTCCTTCTTACCTCTGTGCCTTGCTTATGCTGATCCCTGCCCCAAATGTCTCTCCTTCTCTCTTTCTCTCCCACTTCCATCTATCTACACCTTTGATTTCTTTCCTGTGCCTGCCACTTGTGTGTCTTCTGTTTCCAGTAGCATTTGTAGGTGCTGTCTTCTCTTTCATATCATAGCCATTTGACTTCTTACATTCTCTTGGCTGTGAGGTTTTGGGGTGTCACTCATATTTTTGTTCAAACATAGGCTTGACCAGACTGCCTGGCTTTACGTTCTGGTTTCACCTCTTATTAATTACATAACCTTGGGCAAGTTGCTCTTTGCAACTCAGATTTCTCATCTGCAGATCTGGGATAATAACAATATCTACCTCATAGTGTTGTTAAGAGGAGGGAGTGAAATTATGCATGTGAATCATTTAACATAATGCACAGGGGATAGTGAGCTTTCCAAAAATGTTGCTGTTATTGCTATTCTGACAGTGCCTTGTTTATAGTACACATATAGTAACTATAAGTTGAACCGACTTGTGTTTAGCAAGCGGTTATTGTTGTGTTTTGGGGGTTGGAAGCAAGGAGGCGGCCCAGGAGCTAACGCCTGATCCAACAATGGGTCACGCAGATCTGGGGAAGAGTGGTGTCTGGGGAATGGGGAGGAGGAGCTCTTGTCATCATGATACTGCTTCTCACATTTGCATGGCCTCCCAGGCTCCCAAATAGATGTGTTTTCCTGACATTCACAGGCCCAGGTAAGGCTGTGTCACCAGGAAAGCAAACCACGCTGGGCCCCACAGTCCTTGTACCTTGGTCTCACCTGAATGGTCTCCTTTTTTAATCCAGGAGTTAAATTTTTAAACCACCACAGTCAGGCAACATCATAGATGTCAGTATGTAGTACAGGGCTTTGCACAAAGTGGGTGCTTGATCATTTTTCTTTTCTAAATATTAATGAGTGCCTACTCAGTTCAGAATCCTGATTTAGGGGAAAAGGGAGTATTGGCTCAGTTGAAGGCGCCTTGGGCTTCAGTCACAGCTGTGGCAGATGCGTCGTAATCATAGTTGTAACTGACACTTATTGAGTAGCTATTGTGTAACACCAAGTCTTTTACTTGTATTATGTTGTTTAATCGATTATAATTCGATTGGATAGGTACCATTTTTGTCTCCATGTAAGCTAAGGAAACAGAGCTTAACTTGACTATGCTTTGCCAGCTGGCAAGCAGACCTGGAGTTTGCATTCAAGTCAGCGCGACTTCAGATCTGGGCCTTTTAGTCACTACACCCATGCAAACCTCACAAAAACTCCTGGGTCCCAGCTTCCTCAGCCGTAAAATGAGCGGACTATATTTGGTGATCTTTAAAGTTCTTTAGGGGTAATACCAAACAGTCCACATGGCCCTGATGCTGAATGGATGAGCATTCGGATGGCAGTTCAGACCCCAGCTGCTGCTGGGCCACGGTGAATACCAGTGAGATAATGCAGGCTAAAAGCCTCGGTGCCCACAGACCTCTGTGCACATCAGTTTTACTTTCCTTCCTCTTTTAGCTCCAAATTCTTTGACGTGATGCCAAGGAAACACAATTGACCAGTGGTTCCCAATATCTGGTCTGCAGACTTTGTTGGTTTCTGTGCTATTTCACTGGTGGTCAGTGAAATGAGAAAAATAAGGACAAGGAAGTGAACTTTTCAAAAAGATAAGTTGATTCCATTTTATTTTATTTATTTATTTTTTTTGTGTGTGAGGAAGACCAGGCCTGAGCTAACATCCGATGCCAATCCTCCTCTTTTTTGCTGAGGGAGACTGGCCCTGGGCTAACATCCGTGCCCATCTTCCTCCACGTTATATGGGACGCCGCCACAGCATGGCTTAACAAGCTGTGCGTCTGTGCGTGCCCGGGATCCGAACCAGCAAACCCTGGGCCACCACAGCGGAACGTGCACACTTAGCCGCTTGCGCCACCGGGCTGGCATCCAAGTTGACTCCATTTTAATAGTCTATATCCGCTATGAAATGACAGTGATAATAGATGGTGACTTTTGTTTTGATTTACCAGGTGACATACACAGTTGCCCCTTGGCCCAAATTTTTCCTGAATTTTCACTGGTCTTTAAAAGCAAATGTCTGGAAGTAGCAACAGTTGAGTAGGGCTTTTTAAACTCTCTGTGGCAAAGAGCAGGTTTTTTTTTTTTTTTTTTTTTTTTAAATTTCTGATATGTCACAGACTGTGACTTTTGTAAAGTTAGAATAAAAATAAATTACTAGAAAAATGAAATTAAAAACCAGATATATACACAGGTCCCGCCCGGTGGCGTAGTGGTTAAGTTCACATACTCCTCTTTGGCAGCCTATGGTTCGCAGGTTCAGATCCTGGGTGCAGACCTATACACCGCTCATCAAGCCATGCTGTGGTGGCGTCCCAGATACAAAATAGAGGAAGATGGGCACAGATGTTAGCTTAGGGACAATCTTCCTCACCAAAAACAAAATAAAATAAACCAAAACCAGATATACACAAATACAAGCTCCATTTTTTAATTATTATGGTCAACGGACATAAAATTTCTCTGTCGAGTTGCAATAAAAGCTTCTAAACACCAATCCTCAATTTTGGTACTTATTTCCTTGGGGACGGGCAACATCAGGTTCATGGATCACTGGGATCATTTGGAGCGGTGCCTAGGAGAGGACACTGCCCTGCTTTAGAGAGAGTCTGCCTAGCAGTAGATCAGAGTTCTGACCTGGGGATCATGGATGAGAATCAGAGAGTAGGTGAACTTGGAAGGGGAGAATATTTATGTATTTTTTCTTTGCTAAAATCTAGCTGAAATTTAGCATGTCTTTTAATTATGCTAATAATTAAATATCTTTTAATTATTTTAAAGTTAAGCCACAGACCACAGTAGTTCTAAGAGAGGTCACAGCTACTGTTATCTCATATTTTGGAGATAATCTCAAAGTACTATTACACTATATTGAGATTGCAGTAGCTGCCGCTAGTTTTTTTAGTTAACACATCATTAAAGAAGCACGTGCATTACTGTATTGCAATTAAAAAAATATTCTAATAGCTATAATTCAATGGAATTGGCTTTCTTTGTATCCTTAAATATTTTATCTCACGCATTTAAGAATGTAATTCTAAGAGAGCCCAATAGGAGGCCCCAAACTGCCAAAGGGCCTTCATAGCACAAAAAAGCTTGACACCTCTTCTAGAGGGAAGAAAACTATTTTGAAAACATTTTCAAAACTATTTCCTTCAAACGCAAATCAGCAGATTGTGCCACCAAAAGCCACCCGGTTCCTGAGAGATTAGAGGTCACTGGGAGAGAGGGGCTCTTCTGGGATACGGGGTTGTTTATTTCTTGCACTTTATCATCCATACTTGGAGTTGGTCTGTTCTTTTACAGGCACTTTGAGTGTCCTCACTGCTGAATGAACATTCAGCCCCTGGAGGCATTAGAAGTGGTCAGGCTGGTCGCTTCTTGCTCCAGGCTCTTAGGGATGTTCTCCTCAAAGGAAGACAGGGATTACTAATTAACTAGCGAATCTGATCCTGAGAATGAAAGCTAGGCAGTCCTTTGCATTTTAAATCAAT